TTGTTTCCTTGCTTCATCTGGTGTTCGATTATCGCTGTGTAAGTTTCAGTGCTCGGTTGAATGCCCTGCCCTTCCATGATCCCCAACACCAGCTCAAGCGCGTCTGAGCGCCCTGCCTTCAACAAGGCAGAGAGGATGGTTGAGTAAGTGAACACATCTCCCTGTACACCACCAGCCGACATCCTGTCCATAATGTCTGTGATGCCTCGCAGGTCGCTTCGACGAGCATACAGGCCCAAGAAGGTGTTGTACGACGCTACATCGGGTGCAACACCGTGTTTCGACATGCTCTTTAGAAGTGTATGAGCTTCGTCTTCTCGGGAATTGTGAAGTAACCCTTGAATGACCGCATTGCATACCGCCAGAATCTCGTTGGGCGCAAAACCTTGCTTCCCGCACTGAGATTCGAAGGTATGGAAGCGCTCCATTGCGAGACGAGGACGCTGTCCATTGAAGCACGCGTGGATGATGGCTCTGTAAGTCAGAGCGGTCGGCTGGACTCCTTTGGAAGCCATCATATCCCAGGTCCCAATGGCATCTTGGAAATCCCGTGCCTGCGCACAAGCGTCAATAAGAGCAGTCCACATCGTGACGTCGTGCTTGATCCCGAGAGTGGGAAGTGTCTCCCATAGTTCTGAGGCAAGGTCCTTCCTCCCACACTGGTAGAACGCCTTCAGGAAGGATGCAAACCCCTCGGGAGTGATGCACACCGGCTTGGTGCTGGTAGTGCTTTGGGGATGTTCAGCGATGAATGGTTCTGGACCCGAGATCCCCTCCACAACCTGAGTGTATATTCTCTGCAACTGCTTAGCACCCGGACCACCACCACCAAGTTTCGAGATGTGATTGTTGAACGCGGGGGGATAGGAGAGGTGTTTCGCTAAGTCGAGCTTTCGAATATATGTCATGACCTTTTCTCGCAGTGGAAAGTCACGGCCTAGCAAAGCGAGGAATTCCGTGTTGGTGTTGTATTGAAATCGGATGTCGGTTTGCAGGCACGTATTGAGGGCACCCTGGAAGTCGTCGCGCATGGCATGCGCTGTCGTAGCTGCTAAGAGCACTTTGACACGAGCTGGAAAGAAGATACGCAAGCCACGGAACGGCCTATCCTCGACCGATGCTACATCCTCCGAAAACGCGTCTTCTTCATTCTCCTGCTGTGTCAGCTCGCTCTCCCAGACGCCTTTCTCGATCATCAAGGTTTTACAGCGGTCGTAGAGACGTATCACAGCGCTCGGGTCATCGCGCTTGATGTGGAAGACCATAGCCGCGACCAATGCATCTGGAAACTGGGACGCCGCGGTCACGACGGCAATGTCCTCCACACCGTCCAGTAAGCGGGTCTGTTCCGAGGAGGAAGGTGGTATAAGGTCGGTGGAAGTGAGCTGGGATATTTGTCTAAGTTGGTAAGAGGAGAGTAATGGGATAAGGTCATTCTCCGCAAATTCGTGCCAATGCCGAAGGACACCCTCAGCATCTTTGGCTCGAAGAGATTGGTGTAGCCTGTGCAGAATCGAGTTGAAGATATCTGCTTTCTTCTCCGGTTCTGGTACTTTGCGATCACCCAGAGGATATTTCTCTATGATTGTCTCGTTGAGGTGGGCGAAAGCTTTTGGGTCGACATCACGGTCGGAGTTGAGTCGACGGGGAGCATTGACATAGTTGATTCGATTCCGAGAGTGAGGACGAGATTGAGGACGGGTATGAAGTGATGAGCTGGTAGAGAATGTACTGGAGGCACCTGCAATTCTGCAAAGACTGGGTGCTAAAAAGTCGAATAAAATGACCGACGCTGATGGAGGAGCGCGGAGAAGCATGTATATTGTCTCCGTTACATAACCCGCTCAACTTTTCTCTACAACCACGACCAACTCCTCCCTCCTCTGATTATTCGCGCTCAGGATGGGTCACGGCAACAGCAATAAGCTTTACATTACCCATGCCGAGCACACGGGAATGTTTGGCTCTCATTCATCCTCTACAGGTTTCAAGGCGTGAGTTCTCGCGAGTATAGCTTACTTGAAGGAACTGACAGAATTCGTTGTACTCAAGGAAAGCACAGGCACCGGCAGCAGCGCAGACACCATTTGATTCCTGTGCCCTATCCTTCCAGCCCTTCTCGCATCCAGTTTGTGCTCGAAATGCCGACGGTACAGGCCATGTCTTCGATTTGGTGAATATCATACCATGGTTAAAGTGCGTCGTCTCTAGAAGAGCTCCAGACACGAGAGCTTACCGATATCACCTTCGTTTGCAGACAGCACAATAACACGCATCCTATAACGAACGAGCCACTCACGCCTGCGGATCTCATAACACTACATTACTCCCGCAAGGAGGCGACTAACGAAATACACGACCCGATATCGTTCAAACCATTCAACGAACATTCGCACATAGTTGCAATTGCCACGACAGGGAACGTGTTTCTTGCTGAAAGTATCAAGGGAGGGAAGGATCTGGTGAACGATGTACCATTCAAAAAGTGCGTTCAGGCATAGACTATTAGATGAGAGGCCTGACTCACATACGTCGCAGGCAAGATATTATAACGTTACAGAACCCTCATGGCTTCACACCGATGTCTGTTCCACGCGCCTCGACTTCGTCCGCACCCGCGAAGGCCACAGAACCAAAGGCTGTCGCTAAGCCGGCGCAGGTGACGTCGACGAAAGCTAAGGAAGCCGTACCTTGTGAGTCCGGTTCTTGCTTCCTCACTATTTATCGATGCTAACTAATAAATCTGAGGGAACATCTCGCCGTACTCTAGCGGACTCCCAGGAGCATCCTTAACCTCTACCTCTGTGGATCCTCAGACAGTAGGCGGAAACTCAAGCAAACTGCTCTGGGATGAAGTAAGCACCCTTCTCCGCGATAGCCTTACCAGAGATACTGAGTGTTTGAAAGGAAGAACTGATGTTTGAGGAGATCTCCAATCCACTAAAAGGCAAGGGGAAAGAAAAGGATGTTGGCAAACGTCGGGCCTATGTTCGAGTCGTAACGAGTTTGGGAGGAAGTCTCAACCTCGAACTCTACTGTGAGAAGGTCCGGTAATAGTTATCTTTACTCAGATGTACGAGCTGACTATTTCCCTTAGGCACCTAAAACTTGTTACAACTTCCTGATGCTGGCTCGAACCGGGAAATATGACGATTGCTTATTCCACCGACTTGTGCCAGGTTTCATGGTATGTGTTCCTACCAAACAATCTATAAACTATATTCACCATGGTCCTTTCGAAGATACAAACAGGTGATCCGACAGGGACTGGCGCAGGGGGTGAATCGTACTGGGGCACTCCTTTCAGAGATGAGTACGATCTGAAAGGTGCTGCGAAGCACGACAGCCGAGGTACTCTAGCAATGGCAAACAAGGGCGCTAGTACGAACGGGTGAGTTCATTGCATTGTCATTGAGGCTTTCCATCTTGCTGACAGGCGGTTCAAAGATCACAGTGGTATCTAACCTTCAAGGCGGCGCCCCACCTTGACCGTAAACACACGGTATTTGGAAAATTGGTCGGCGGAGAAGACGTTCTGGATACCCTCGAGAAACTACCTCGGAAAGAGGGAACGGAGCGACCCGCTAAACCCGTCAAGATAACAGAAATTGTAATGTGCGTATCATAAGTTGCATCCATCTCGAGTTGTCAGCTTAACGAAAACAGTTATCAAGACCCTTTCGAGGACTACAAAAAGCGTCTAGCGAAGAAAATTGCACGCCGGGAAGCTAATCAAAATGGCACCACCGTTAGCAAAGCCCCTGAAAAGACCGTGGACGACACTACGAATTGGTTTGGTCTTAAAATCGGTGGAGACGGTGCTGCTTCGACCAATGGTGGCGCTACTGGTGGAGGTGTTGGGAAGTATCTCAATCTCAAGCGACCGCAAGCCGAAGGGGGAACTCATGGCTCAGATGAACCCAAGAAAAAACGAAAGCTCGGTTTCGGAGACTTTGAGGGCTGGTAGTTGTTCCGCGTGTATTGTACAGTGTAAATTACATGGACATGTGCTCTAGATACCATAAAAATGTCGGGAATTAAGCGGGTATAGCGATACGTTCCTTTGCTGGTTCCTCCTCGGCCTGTGGTGTTTCGAGCTCGGTCGTGGGGACTGATGGCAATTTGTCGGCCGCTTTCTGGTCGACCTGCGGGGCTTGCTCCGGTGCTTTGAGCTTCACGAAGGTCAACAACTGGAAGGTCACGGTACTTGTGAGGCCTACCTGGTCTGCCTGTAGCTCGAGAAGCTCTGCTTGTACTGAGTCCTCTTCCTCCAATGTGAGATTGTTGGCAAGCATTTCGTCGATTTCCTGCGTCGCCAGAACGAGTGAAGGTGACAACACGTGCAAGGTATAATCGTACCTTCTGATATGCCCTTGCTTCAGCTGTCTCTTCCAAAAGTCGCTCGACAGACTCTACGTTCATCTCCTTGTGTATGGACTTCAGCACATCGTTTCCTTGCTTCAGCCCATGCAGAACCGAAACTTCGATCAACGAGAACTCGATGCTTGAAACCTGTAGACATAGTTAGTGATGATATTCGTGCTCTCAAATGGCCACGTACGAGCTGTTCCAAATTCTCCAATTGACCATCCGTCTTCGAGAGCAAACTCTGCTGATACTTTCGCCGCCGCAAGGCTGTCAGCGCTCTGTCCTTCTGCCCGCTAGCGAGAAGTGATCTGGCTATAGCCTGTTCACGGTCCAATACTGCTTGAATCTACAGACAACTTGAGATGTTTGGTACGGTGTCGTATGCCTTAGTTGACGCATGTACCTGTTTCTGGTATTGCTTTACTTTATCACGCTGCAACTTGAGACTAACAGAATCAGCATAAAAATCCGAGGGAAGAGCGAGGATCTTACTCTAAAATTGCACGGTCTTGAGCAGTAATCTTGGGGACCGACTGATTGCCCCCCATGGATGGCGAAAGAGTCTTGAGCTGGATCGCCGAGGTCAGGTTTAGGTTTACGTCACATTAGTAGACAGCAAAAGTAAAACTATATCCGACCTGCCTGGTTCGAACAGGCGACCCCAAGATAGCGATCAATGTTTTCCAATTACAGTCTTGTGCTCTTCCAACTGAGCTAAGGTCGGTTGTTTTACAAGTTCAAAGTAGCTTGCCATGATACTCGTTATAGTCGATGTTGTTGGCATTAATCAAAGGATAAACCTTGTATTATACTACTCAATAATATAGCTATTACTCGACTCAATATTCGACTCAGCCATCCACTTCAGACTGCATATCCATACGCCTTGGGTGGAACGGAGGGCTCTTCAAGTAGCGTAAATGATTGGGGTCCTGTTCGTATTAAAGATGGTGAAGTTGGCGACTGGATTTGTCGTCTGGAGATTTCTGCAGACATCGATTTATGCCACTGAGCTGGAAGTGGTGGGGCTTGTGCATCTGTGGTCTGTTCGATGGGAGAGTGCCAATTCGAATCCGTGGGTGATAAGGCCAAAGAGTGACGTTCTGGAGAGGCATACGGACAGGTTGTAGTTATCACAGGGTAAGACGCGCTTTGCAGGATTTTGACTTCGTGAGCATCCTCGTGCTCAGCTACTGTGGCGTCTTCAAACAGCCGACTGTGACGTCTTCTTTCTCGCCGTGGTAGTAGCTTTGGCCTGGTGTACACGAAGAGGCACACATTGAACAGTCCGGACGAAAAGAACAAGATTGCAGCGAATGCAGTCGCTGGGAACGGGACCGATCTACCGGCGTAGTATAGCCAGCGGACGATACCTATCGGCAGAATGTTTATGATGTAGACCAGAGGATAACTACAAAATGGGCTCTCCTGAGTTTCATACATACAAAAGCGTCGATAGAGAAAAAGCTTACAATAGCATCTGTAACGCCACGAATTTCCTTGATGTACTCTCGGTACTGGCCGTGGCCATACTGCTCACCACCGAAGAGTGCCGTTTTGGGACCCGTCCAAACGAGACACGTCCCTTTCCAACAACTACGATCCCTAAAAGCCAAATAAAAATCTGAAAGCAGGAAGGCTAGGACCTTTGCAAGTACCTTTGAGAACGAGCGCGATAGCAAGGTAGAAGATCAGGTTCAGCGCAGCCGCAAGCCACAGCCAGAAGTAATCGGTCGCTATACGTTCTTTTGGGTAAGCTTCGGTAATCCAACACCCTACATGATGTCAGACGATCGGCCCTCCACCGCAAAGACGTGAAGTATGAGGCTCACAATACTGTGTATCACCGTAAAAACGGTGCTTGCCATGCAGGCCCATGTTTACGCCCACCATCAACGCTATGAGAGTCCAAATTGATGCAAGGACGATCAGAGCAACATAATGCGGAGGATTCGCGCGGAACACTAGCACAAGGAATGTTTGAAACGCGATAACCTTGAACAAAATTTAGTGGGCTCAAAGAACCGCTTTTCTCGACTCACAAGAGACCTGTTCAAGAGCAATGCTTAATAGATTGCATTATGTAGAGAAAACTTTGGCACTGACGTGAGAGCGACTCCTACGTCCCCAATTTGGATCAGCATGCCTATCCGGAAGTTCAGAGCACATCCGGAACTTCTCCCCGGGAAGAGTCTTGCCTTGCATTGTGCACAACGGTCCTTCAGTGATTCGCTGTTGGCTGGGACGTCAGCCTGAGGATGATGTAGCTATCTTCGGAGCGAACTCACCCCCTCGGATACCCATCGTATGCTCAAAAGGCCAGCTAGGTTCAACGTTAGCGGGCACTAGATGGCGGCGAGGTTAGGCGTAACCCTACCAATTGCCTGTATTAGGTCCGATATGAGGAGGTTCACAAGATAGTAGCGAAAGTGCGTCGATCGAGTCCATGTTCGGCGAGTGCATGTAGCTGAATACTGGAGAGAATTCAGCGGCGAAAAATGACAGACGAAAGGATTCGAATACCCACCATGATATATGCAAGAAGGAGGAAGGCCGCTAGGGCCGACAAGAACGCCGACTGGATGATGAACACGATGCCCAAGCGCACCCCGAAACTGAAGGTGGCGGCCTCTGACGCATCACCAGAGCCTCCCGAAGACATGTTTTGAGCGGGGGGGGGATCTGCCCAACCTCATTTCTTTATCAGTGCTTTCAACTCTCGATCAAGACGATCGGATGTCGGTTCTTCCTAGTACCCTACATTGTAAAATGGCAAGCTCACATGGCATAGTACTTCAGGACGCTATATTCGGCGGAGAAAAAATCATGCTCCCCACCCCCGAGCGAATAGATCGCGCCATAATGACCTCCCGTTTGGAGTACACAAGAGTGACGATAGATCAATGCGACGATCCCTATTCGACTGAGGAAATCATTAGATGGAGTGGCTCACGCAAGTCTGAACTCTTTGTGATACCTCGCTCGAGATTATATGGTGAGATTCAATGACAACACAGAGCTACGTGCGGGGATGCCAAGTCCAAGTCACAGAAGGATTTGCAATTGATACTTGGGCACGGTTGAGGGAGTAGAGATAGTGTGAAATGCAGTAAAGTTGGCATCATTAGCCACATATTATCAGCCGAAGGAGCCAAGTTGAGGAAGACGGAAGACGGATCAAGCTGAAGAAGGGTAAAAGAGAAACCAAGGTTCCGCGTCGACAGACCCTGTTGTCCGAATTGGTGATGTTGGCATTGCAATTGACCATGGTAGACCTGGTGGTCGGGTGTTGAGGGAGTTCACGGCACGTGATTAGAAGAATACTCCGCTGTGCCCGAGGCTTCCTGAAGCTCTCTTCGCACCGCCGTCAATGCATTTGGGCGGGGGGTCAGCTCGAATTCCCAATGGCCTTTAATATCTCTCCTCTCCGAAATGCCCTGAACCAAAGGTTTGTTCGCTCATATCACGATTATGTCCGCTATGCACATCCAGGTCAGTCTTATCCAAAGCTGGTTTACATGTGCTCAATGCTCAATATATCATCAAGGTGGAACCGTTCGCCTTCCCCTCGCCTCTTCGAAAGTCATAGGTGTTGCGAATTCTCGTGGTAATCGAAGGTTAGTGATCGTTACAGGTCCATTTAAAGCTTATTCACGTTTAACGACAGTCATCAGGAAGACTTCTATGCGTTTGCTGCGCTTTCGCTCGATCCTGAAGAGTTGCGGCTGAGTGTGAAGAAGTCGCACAATATTGACTGGGATCCTGAAAGTGTCGGTGGGCTCCTTGCGAGGCAAGTCGTGTTTGTGGGTATCTATGACGGGTGAGTTTTCCAGGTTCGCTCACGACCAGAGCTTTGGCTAACATTTTCGCCATGAAGTCACGGAGGTTCAGCCGTATCCCAATTCCTTCGCCAAGAACTGCACGGCCTTTTTGAATCTGTCAACCCCAACGCGATCCCTGAGCTGTTTGCATGGATCAAAGAGATTGGAGGCTACTTCAAACGCTTTCGAGGGGGCGCACTGACTCCTTGGATCAACCACTCAGACAACCTTCCTGTTATGGACCTCGAAGCACGCTCTACACAGACATTCTTCGAAGTACTTCTACCCCGTTCACCCTGTTACCGCTATAATAACACAATATGCCAGGTCGATAGGCACTTATCTTCCGATCCCATAGCTCAAAACAGCGGGGCTACAGCGTCCCTCGTACTGCTTCACGCTCTTGACGCTCCCGCTGCTCCTTTCTTTTCGGCAGAAAAGGTTGCGTTGACAGTTGCACATTGCGGGTGAGTGTGATTGCGACTGTTTAGGTGCCCTCAATAATTTGTATAGTGACACTCGGGTACTTCTGTGCTCGACAGATGGCGGGAAAGTGGTCCCAATGACAGAAAACCATCACGCAGATGCTAGAGTGGAATCCACTCGCCTTCGTCGCATGATGGGTTCGTCACTGATTACGGATTCTTATGGAGAATCAAGGTGTGTGCCAATTCAAAATTCAATATCCTCCCTGGGTCTCTGAACTCTCCGCAGGTGGATGGGTGCACTCGCCAATACACGAGGGTAAGTGATGTTGTCGCCTCGGCTCAATTCTCTAACGCGTAAACGTCCAGACTGGGTGACCTCCAATACAAGAAGTTTGGTGTAACTCCAGAACCAGAAGTCAGAACGAAGTTATTGCAAGGTGGGAGCTATCGTATTGCGTTGCGTATGGCATCACGTTAATTCCATCCCCTCAGGGCAAGAATGGGCTTATATGGTATTGGTCTCAGATGGGGTTTCCTCCATCATCTCAGATGATGAAGTGGTGGACCTGGCTCGCGATGCTCCTGATCCTAAAACCGCGGCCGACCGTATCTTATCATACGTCGAGGAGTTGGGCGGCGATGACAATATGACCGCCATTGTCATACCTTTAGCTGGGTGGGGAAGGATTAAAGGGCCAGATAAGACCAAGGAGTTACGAGAGTACAGGAAGGAACAGGCAGGTTCGTATCATCCAACTCCGCTCAACCAACCCATGAGCTGACAAGTGTTGCATTAGTTGGTTCAGAGCGTCAACGGCGAATGTAGATTTGGAAGGACATTGTGCGTGGAATTGGAAAGTGCATAGATGTAAACTATCTTACAAAGTCGTCGACATGCATCATATACCCCATCATTCCCAGTGCACCATCTGACAAAATTAATGCGGCTTTACTTCCACTTGAACGAAGCACCGGGGTGGTCTTCACGCAGCATTCGTTGACCTGGACCATACAGTTTCTCCCTGGTCGTCAATCCCAACTGCTCGTCTTCTCCGAAACCTGGGGGTGCACCCGCGAATTGCTTTGCAGAGGGCCAGTTCTTGGGTAAAGGCCCAGGGGCAGGATAATCGTCCCAGACGTGCCCCCGGCGTTGGAGTTCAGGTCGAACCAACTCGATAAAGTCGATAAACGTTCCTGGAGATGTGGCATACGCCAAGTTAAATCCATCGACGCCCGCGTCCCCGATCCAGGATTCGAGCTGATCAACGATGGAAGTAGGGCTACCAACGACAATAGGACCAAGTCCGCCTAGCTTGATCTGGTCGGCCACAACTCGTTTCGTCCACTTCGGAACTGTGGGATCCTATGAGTGAGCGGCTGTCAGTTGAGTCATCATGGACAAAGGATGTGAGGAACGAGCCAAAAGTGTAAAGCTTACCTGACGAGCGAAACCCTCAACAGCGGACTTGATGGCG